CAGGTGGGACCGCTGGGGCCCTCGCTGCGGGCGGGACTCCGTTTTGGGGTTCCGGGCCTAGGGGAGTGGGAGGTGCCCCGCCACAGGCCGTAGCCAGGGAGGCCTTTCTGGAGAAGTGGGTGTGTGAGCTCGAACCAGGATCAGCTGGACAGGGAAAGGATCGGCGCCGGAGAGGAGGCAGGTGACCGCCTGAAGGAGAGCGAGGCCGGAAATCGAGCCGGTCCGAGCGGGAGTTTGGAAGCAGAGGTGACAACCATTGCTGGCGGGGTTGATGTCTGAGAGGGCTGCGTGCGACGACACGGGGCAGGAGTCACAGTTGACTCGGTGAACTTGGTCTCAGCTTCCCCAGGGCCCCGCGGTCCTTTCTCCCGGAGATGGCGCATCTGGCCAGACTCGACTCGAGTCCTCTTAGCGCCACCCCCCCAGCTCACTGATTTCCAGACGTGACGTGGGTCCCGTTCTGACTTAACCCCGCGATGGTCGTGGTACTTCAGCCAGTCCTGCCCGACTGTCACCCAAGTCAACCCGGCTCTGTCCTCAGGGTCTCCGTGGGGCTCGACCAGCTGCTCTTCCCGACGTAGCCAGAGCCTCTCCTGAGGCGCAGCTGGGTGCCTCTTGGTTCCACTGCTTGACTTCCCTTTGAGTCTGGTAAGGTCTTTGCTGCCCCAAGAATAGCAAGAAGGTGAAAATAGCAGAAGGCACTTGAGGAAGACACGGTTGAAACAGGCTCAAAAAACTACAGCCCATGAAGTAAAAATGGCTTTACCTTTTTTTTTTTTCTCCTTCCTTTGAGGGGGTGCAGCAGTGCTGGGGATCGACCCAGAGCCTTTGCCTTGAGCGACGTCCCCAGCCCTTTTTCTGTTTTTTATTTTGAGGCTGGTGGGTCTCCCAGGCTGGCCTCAAAACTTGATCCTCCCACCACAGCCTACCAAGTAACTGGAATTACAGGCATGTGCCACCATGCCTGGCATTTTACATTTGTAAGTAGTGGGGAGGAATAAAAAAAAAGTTACATATTTTGTGACACACGAGAGTTATATGGAATTTAGCACCCAGACATTTTAGAGTTCCGAAATGAAGTTTTGTTGGAATACAGCCATACTTATTTGCTCATATACGGACTGTATCTGGATTTGTGCCACAGCAGAAAAGTTGAGGGGTTGTGTTATGTTTATACTGTGTGGTCCTCTGAGCTATTTTATTCAGCCAGATGTTTACTACCACCTGGCATGGTGGTGCACACCTGCACCAGCACTCGGGAGGCTGAGGCAGGAGGGTCACTACAAGTTCAAGGCCAGTCAGGGCTACATAGCCAGACCCAGTGTGAAAAAACAATTTTGTTGCCTGGCTGTTATAGAAAGCACAGGCTACGGATGGAGCTCAGAGATCCTCCTGCCTCAGCCTCCCCAGTAATGAACGGGCATGTATTACCATGACCAGCAATATGTGCTATTTTCTGCCTTTGAATTATTTTCAGTGACGAGCTATTAAATTCAGTGTTGTCTATAAAAATTTAATCAAATTTATAGTCAGTATTTAAGGGCTCCAAAATGAACTGACTTTCGTAGCTTAGATTTTTGTACATGAGCTGAATACGTAGAGCACTTAGAAAAATTCTTGGTGGTGATTATCCATGCTCACAAAATTAAAAACCTTAACGAATCTGTCCCTAGGGTATTGAGCATCACTCCCTGCTCTTTGTTCCTACCTTTTCACTCCAGGTGACTCCTGGCTTTTGGGGGGGCAGTCAGAACACCACTTCTGCCCTGCTGTGGCCACCTTGGCTGCATGCGGGTCTTTCGCTCCTACTCTTTTGGTTCCTGTGCCCCCGCCCAGCTCGCCCTCCGCTCCCCTTTTTCCTTCCTTAGCTGTTTTTTTTCCCCACTGACTTTATTGGTACTTTTTGGGTATATAGTACTGTTACACTCATTATTAGGATCTTGTATCTTTAAATGTTGTATCTTGGTTCTTATTTTTCCTCATTACCCTGCCCTCCCTTCACCTCCTCCAGCCTTCCCTATTTACAAAGACTTTGTTTTTGTTTTTGTTTTTTTTAATACTTTGTTTCCATGTCTTTTCTTTTCTCATATTTTTTCTTTTCCCTTCTTTCGTTTCCCCTGCCCTGTCCCACTTTCCCTACTCCTTTGGACATTTTCTTCCTATTTCATATTACACTATTCAGTATTTCACTTACAAGTATGGCCTCCGTGTGCATCCATTTAGCTATAAATGTCTCTAGTTTCTTGTTCATTATGGCTGAGTAGTACTCTGTTTTAGAAAAAAAAAAAGCCACTTTTTTTAGGGGGCGGTACTGGGGATCAGATTCGGGTCCTTGCGCTTGCAAAGCAGCTGCCGGAACCACTGAGCTAAATCCCTAGCCCAACCCACAATCTTCTTTATCCAGTCTCCAGTTGTTGGGCAGTTGGGCTGTTTCCAAGTTTTACCTATTACAAACTGTGCCGCTGTAGACATGGGTGCGCATATATTGCTGTGGTATGATTCTTTTAATTCTTTTGGGATGATTCCCAGCAGGGGAATAGCAGATGAGACTTCTCCACATTGATTTCCACAGTGGTGGCACCAGCCTAGCCTGCACTCCCACCAACAGTGGAGAATGGTTCCTTTCTGCCTACAACCCCACCAGCATTTGTTATTAGTTGATTTCTTGATAGCAATCTTTCTGGGGTGAGGTCCTTCCTTAGTCTTCTTACAGGGGGCCTCCAGCAAACACATTCCTGACTCAGGGCCTTTGCACCTACTGTTCCTGCAACCGTGAATATGCTTGCCCAGATGGTCTCTGGGTTCCTCCCGACTTCCTGCAGCCTCTGCTCCTGGTGACCTCAGAGAGGCCCCCATGGAGCTCTCTGGCATGCAGAGCCATCTCCTCATCCTCACTGAGCACTTGTGGTTCCTGTGGCCTCCCAGTCCTAGAAATGCCTGCATGTGCATACGTGGGTTTGTGGGGGTGTGGGGGTGCTCTCTGTGGGGAGCCTGAGGAGGCAGCCTGAGGAGGCAGCCTGAGTGTCCCCAGCACCTAGGACAGTGCTGCCACCCAGCAGGCTGGGCAGGCTGAGCAGCAGCAGACACTCAGTGGGCTCTGGCGGGTCTTCTCCCCAGGTCAGAGTCAAAGGAGCGGTGGCAGCGGCAGGGAAAGCGCAGCTGGAGCCCCCCGCCATCCCGTTGGCGTGACCAGAACCGGGACCGGGACCAGTCCTCATCATCAGATTCTGGAGAGGAGCGGGCCTGGACCCGCCACGGTCACTGGCGCTCATGGTCCCCAAGATCCTCTGCATCCAGCTCGGCCTCCCCTGGGTGCTCCCAGAGCCCCGGGTTGACAGCCGCAGCGGTGGCCCTGAGCCAGCAGCAGAGCCTGCAGGAGCGGCTGCGGCTGCGGGAGGAGCGGAAGCAGCAGGAGGAGCTGCTCAAGGCCTTCGAGACGCCGGAGGAGAAGCGAGCGCGGCGGCTCGCCAAGAAGGAAGCCAAGGAGCGCAAGAAGCGGGAGAAGATGGGCTGGGGCGAGGAGTACATGGGCTACACCAACACTGACAACCCCTTCGGCGACAACAACCTGCTGGGCACCTTCATCTGGAACAAGGCGAGCCCCCTTCCCGCCAGCGCAGGCCGTGCTCTGTTGGTGCTGGGGACGGAACCCAGGGCAAAGCCCGAGGCACCCTGAGCGTGTGTCCTGCTGCAGAGCTGCACTCCAGCCCCTAGTAACGCACATTTGGGTTTTTTTCTTTTCCTTTTGTTTTCTTTCTTTGGTGTGTGTTGGGAGGATGGTAGCAGGATGGAACCCAGGTTCTCTGAACTGAGCTTTCTTTTTTCTCTCATTGAGTTTATTGGTACGTTCTGTGTATCCAGTACAGTTACGTTCATCATTGGGATTTTGTACCTTTACGTGACAGGTCTTGGTGAACTGAACTTTAGTCCCAGTCCTTTTTATTGAACTCAAGACCTTGCTCTTGAGAGGCAGGCATGGTGCCACTGAGCTAAACCCCCAATCCTAAAATTTTTTTTTTTGGTACCAGGGATCAAGCTCAGAACCTTACGCTTGCAAGGCAGGCGCAGTGCCACTAAATTTTTAGCCCAGCCCCTAAAATTTTTATTTTAAAGAGGGTCTCGCTAAGTTGCCCGGGCTGGGCTCGAACTCACAATCCTGCCTCAGCCCTCCAGATGAGATGACGGGTGTGCGCTACCAGGCCTTACTTAATAACATTTTGTCCTCAAAAATTGTTCTTGGTGCTGGAATGGACCCCAGGGTCCCCGTGTGCTGAGTATACTGTGCCCGGGCCGCCCCAGCCTGTGGGTCTCGTCACCCTGCAGCACATCTCCTGCCTTCTCGCCTGCCATCTCTATGGCTGCTGACCGTCACAGTGTGAGCCCTGTCATTCCTGCTCAGAACCAGCCTCCCGCCCAGAAGGCCTGGAGAAAGGGCTGTTACTGCTTGGGCCCCAGGGTGGGCTCTGCAGTGGCGGGTGCCATGTGCCCTGTTTGTGTCGTTCCATCCCACCTGGCCGTGGGCACAGGCTGAAGCCAGTAGGCCCTGCTGTCTCGCAGCGCTGCCGTCCTGGGTCTGCTCAGGGCCACTCCTCTCCAGGGGCTGTCGTGCTCCTCTGGCCTCAGAGCCTCTTGGCTTGTGACAGCCCAGCTCCCCTGCCTCTTACCGCATGGCTGTCTCCCTCCGTACCTGAGTCTTCATGTGGCCTTCTCTGCATTTGTCCCTGTCGGCTCTCGGGCACTGGCCACTGGGGGAGGACTCTGCTACACCAGAGCGACCCTTTGCACAGCATTGTGGGCCTTTCCAGATGCCACATTCACGTCTTCAGGGGAGGACCGGGCGCAGGCCTGGCCCTCCCCTAGTGTGAGGGTGTGCACCTGCCTTCACGGGGCTGCAAGTGGGGCTGTGATGTCCCTAGCGGGAACCATCATCAGGAACACAGTGCGTTCTGCCTCAGGGCCTTTGCAGCTGCCTGTCCCCTCTGCCTGGGGTGCTACCTGCTTTGACCTGCAGTCCTCACCCTGGTGCCCCTCTTCAGAGCAGCTGCTTGGCCCTTGCTCCCCGGGCCCCCGCATCCTTATCAGGGCACCCTGGGTTCCTGTTGTGGCAAAGCTCCCAGGTGCTGGCTGCACTGCTGCCCCTTCCTGTGAGCTGTGCAGGGGGAGGCCGGGCTGCAGAGGGGAACTCTGTTACTCTGGACATCAGGGGACCCTGCACAGCCTCCTGGGTCACTGGGAACCTGGGCAGCCAGTAGGGAACAGTCGTGACACGGTGTCACAGCGTCCTTGGGACGGAGCTCAGATGCTGTCCCTGTGTGTGGTGTGAGCCTGGGGAGCCAGGCACCCTACCTCTGCACGAAACGGGGGACACCGGTGCACTGAGGCCTCACCTCCCGTTGCCACTGCAACCAGACTTCCTGTGAAGCGGGAGCCCTGGGTCCCACCTCCACCCCACAGGGCAAGGTGGCTGGGGACAGCCCTTGGGGTCCTGCAGCTTCTCACACTTTCTGTTCCTGACACTGGGGGCTCTGAGGGGGACCGGAGAAGACACTGAGCCACAGTCACTCTGCAGAGCACACACACTGCGCGTTTTGGTCCCAGCCCAGCCGGGGCGCCCTGGCCTCTGTGCTGTGGTGGGCGGGTGCAGTGGTGCTCAGTGCTGCGGTTGCTCTCTGCAGGCCCTAGAGAAGAAGGGGATCAGCCACCTGGAGGAGAAGGAGCTGAAGGAGCGGAACAAGAGGATCCAGGAGGACAATCGGCTGGAGCTGCAGAAGGTGAGTGGCCGGGCACCCTCAGGAGCTCCTCTGTGACCTGGGTTACATGTGAGGTGCAGCGATCTGGCTTCAGGCATGGCTGTGTCTAGGGGCTCAGACAGTGTCTCCAGGAAGCTGTTTCCCTTGTCCATGGGCTCTGCTGTCTTCTGTTTTACTTCCAGCCACTCGGGGCTGCAGGGTGTCCAGCGGAAAGGGGATGTCCCACCCCAGGGTCTACCCAACACCTCGGGCATGGGAGGCTGATGACGGTGGCCATCCCACCACGCCCCTCCTCACCCTGTGTGGCCCCCAGGTGAAGCAGCTGCGGCTGGAGCGGGAGCGTGAGAAGGCCATGCGGGAGCAGGAGCTGGAGATGCTGCAGCGGGAGAAGGAGGCGGAGCACTTCAAGACGTGGGAGGAGCAGGAGGACCACTTCCACCTGCAGCAGGCCAAGCTGCGGTGTGCCTGCCCCCAGCGCCCTCTGCAGGCTGCCCCTCTGGTGTCGGCCACTGTCCCCCATTTCCTCCAAGGCTCCTGCCCACCCAGAGCTGCCTGGCGGGGTGGGGCTGGCCCCAGCTGTGTTCCTGTGGGGGCAGAGCTCAGGCCCAGTGCCCCAGCTGTACGGGCAGCTGTGGCCGCTGCCTGCTGTGGGTCCGTCTGCCCCCACGGGGCTCCCCTGCAGATCCCATGCAGCCCAGACCTGGGGCCCCACTTTGGCCCACTAACCTGTCCCTCCCTGCGCATTGCCTGCCCGCCCCGCTCTGACGCCCCCCCCCCATGTGACCCCCAGCTCCAAGATCCGCATCCGGGATGGCCGGGCAAAGCCCATCGACCTGCTGGCCAAGTACATCAGCGCCGAGGACGACGACCTCGCCGTGGAGATGCACGAGCCCTACACCTTCCTCAATGGGCTCACTGTGGCCGACATGGAGGACCTGCTGGAGGACATCCAGGTGCCTCCCGGCCCCACCCCTTCCCAGGCCCTGCCCCTCCCTCCCTGTGCCGGCCCCACCCCTTCCCAGGCCCTGCCCCTCCCTCCCTGTGCCGGCCCCACCCCTTCCCAGGCCCCGGCCCTCACCACCTCGCCTCACCCAGGTGTACATGGAGCTGGAGCAGGGCAAGAACGCTGACTTCTGGCGCGACATGACCATCATCACGGAGGACGAGATCTCCAAGCTCCGCAAGCTGGAGGCCTCTGGCAAAGGCCCAGGTAACTGAGCCATGCACTGTGCCCTTCACTTCTGGTGGGAGCCCTCGTGGGCCACATGGTCCTGCCCAAAGCCTCAGAGTCCTTGCGTGGCCCGGCACCCTTAACAGGCCTCAATTTTGCCATCTTTGGACCCCTTGGCTGCTTTCAAGGCCTCTGCAGCTAGGTGGAGCCACTAGGGGACAGCAGGGGCCTTCCTGCCATGGGGATTGTGCACTGAGACAGCTGTGGGGGGTGTGGGGGACACAGGGTCCAGCCCTGGTTCCGGGAACAGTGACCTGGTCATGCTGGGCTTCCTGTGAGCAGGGCTGTCGGGTCTCTGCCTGGGCCCCAGCTTGTGAAAGGGATCCTGGCTCAGGTCCCAGAGTCCTGGCCTGATGGCCTACAGAGGTCCCTATCCAGACCCATGTGGCTTCTGCATTCCACATGTTTTCTCCCTGAGTGCCCAGCCCGTCCCCAGCCAGGGTGCCATGGCCTTAGCCTGGGGAGAGGCGGCCGGCCCTGAGCAACCCCATCCCCACAGGCGAGCGCAGGGAGGGCGTGAACGCCTCTGTCAGCTCCGACGTGCAGTCCGTGTTCAAAGGCAAGACCTACACACAGCTGCAGGTCATCTTCCAGGGCATTGAGGGCAAGATCCGGGCTGGCGGCCCCAACCTGGACATGGGTTACTGGGAGAGCCTGCTGCAGCAGCTACGTGCACACATGGCCCGCGCCAGGTGAGCCCGGCCGCCCCTCCCCGCCTTTGTGCAGCACAGGAAGCCTGGCCCGGCCACCAGCCCATCCCATCCCGGGAGCTGTGTACAGATTCCACGAGTGCTTGGCACCATCCCGTAAACATTGCTGCTGCTGCTGTCACCAGTGTTATTTTATAAATGGGTGTAAATTTGTCCTCGTTCCGCAGGCCCCGCCTGTCCTCCTCCCCACCCACCCCAGCTTTGGCCTTCTGGGTCCTGTCTGCCTGTGCCAAACCTGAATGGGGGCCCAGTCACGGCAGGAGCCTCAGGGCCCCGGGGGGAGAGTGGAGCCAGAAGGGTGTAGGGCACGGGTGCCGGCCCTGTCTCCGAGACGGGCGTTGTGACTGCCGCCCTGTCACAGGCTCCGTGAGCGCCACCAGGATGTGCTGCGGCAGAAGCTGTACAAGCTGAAGCAGGAGCAAGGTGTGGAGAGCGGGCCCCTGTTCCCCATCCTCAAGCAGGAGCCGCCGTCCCCCAGCCAGAGGTAGGTGGAAGGACAGGGCTGGGACGAGCGTCTCCCTCGCCCGTCGCCCCTCACCCCCTGCTCTCCCCGTAGCCTGGAGCCCGAGGAGCCGGTGCTGACGCTGCCCGGGCCCTCAGCAGAGGACGGCCCCCCGGAGGATGAGGCGGCCCCGGAAGAGGGCGGAGGGGACGGGGACGGGGACGGAGAGGCGGTGCTCATGGAGGAGGACCTGATCCAGCAGAGCCTGGACGACTATGACGCGGGCCGGTACAGCCCACGCCTGCTCACGGCGCACGAGCTGCCACTGGATGTGCACGTGCTGGAGCCGGACGAGGACACGCAGCACCTGCAGCTGTCACGACAGCAGCTCCAGGTCACCGGTACGTGGGGGACGGGGGACTTTGAGGGCAGAGCCTGGAGGGTGGTGTGGACGGGGCGCGGGCTCCGTGGAGGAGATGCCGCGGGGGCCGGGGCTGGGCAGGCCCAGGGCTTGGGAGTGCTGCCCAAGGGGTCACTGGCGAGGGGCCGGCTGGACTGATGATCAGGATCTTGAGGGGACAGATGTGTCCGCCGCCGGAGGCCGGGCCGCAAGGGGTCGCTGAGAGCAGGACCCGGGGCGGCCCGGGCTCACCACACTGCCCGTGCAGGCGATGCCAGTGAGAGCGCCGAGGACATCTTCTTCCGGCGTGCCAAGGAGGGCATGGGCCAGGACGAGGCGCAGTTCAGCGTGGAGCTGCCGCTCAGCGGCAAGGCCTACCTGTGGGCTGACAAGTACCGGCCGCGCAAGCCGCGCTTCTTCAACCGCGTGCACACCGGCTTCGAGTGGAACAAGTACAACCAGACCCACTACGACTTCGACAACCCGCCGCCCAAGATCGTGCAGGGCTACAAGTTCAACATCTTCTACCCCGACCTCATCGACAAGCGCTCCACGCCCGAGTACTTCCTGGAGGCCTGCGCCGACAACAAGGACTTCGCCATCCTGCGCTTCCACGCGGGCCCACCCTATGAGGACATCGCCTTTAAGATCGTCAACCGCGAGTGGGAGTACTCGCACCGCCACGGCTTCCGCTGCCAGTTCGCCAACGGCATCTTCCAGCTCTGGTTCCACTTCAAGCGGTACCGTTACCGCCGGTGACAGCGGGCACTGAGCCTCGGGCTAGGGGGGCACCGCCCCCCACCGGAGCTCCCACTTCCGCCTCCCCCCTGCCCTGACGAGGGCTTGGCTGCTGGACTGACTTTGGAGAGTGGGGGACGGGCAGCCTCAGCTTGGAGTGTGGTGGGAGGGGTCCGGCAGCTGTCAGCAGACGTCCCCGTCCAGGTGGCCCAGGAGCCACCCACTCACCCGCCCTGGAAGATGCGGGAGGAGCCAGACCAGGATGCCGGTCAGCTGCCTCAGGACAAGACGACAGCTCACTGGGGCCAGAAGTGCCCCGGGAGCAGGGATCTACCGGGCAGCAGGAGGAACGCAGGGCCCTGCATGGAGCGTCTGGCCTGAGGCGGGAGCGTGAGGAGACCACGTCCAGCCGGGCACCTCCCAGAGCGTCGGTCAGCCAGGGCCACGCAGGTTCCCACGCGCAGCTTCTGCCTGTCACGCCTGCGTACACTGCGTCTGTGTCATCAGTCTTCAGGGGGCTCTGAAGTGCCACCTCTGGCTCCACACAAGTCCTGTCTCATCTGGAAATCATTTCCCTCTGTGTATCTGGAAAACTTTTTTTAAGTGGGAATAAAAACCTTGTTTTATTTTCATTGCTTGGTGTCCATGAGCAGGCCTGTGTTTGTGATGAGCATTTCATCTTGAGTCAGTTGGCAGAGAGCGTGGGGCCACCGCACCCGAGCAGTGACGTCCTGCATACCACGGTGTCCCTGTCAGCTGAGCAGCCTTCACACCCACAGCGGGACACCTAAAAATAGTCAGCGCCTCAGGCCTCTTGTCTCGGCCCCGCCATCACTGCTGCTTTCTGAGTGGGAGACAGTCGTCCCTTCTGGTAGGATGGACAGCAGGAGGTCAGAAGTGCTCACTTAGGCCACCATGCTTTTGGGCACCATGCGTGGCCGTCCCTCGGGGCAGCTCTTGCCATGAGTATGTGAAGCCCTCCTTCACGCAGTGCCTAGATCTGCCCTGAGTGTCCGTGATGCCAGGACTGAAATACTGCAGTAGAGGCAAGAGCAGGTCCCCCACTGTCACCACCCTAGCCTGACTTCTGACACTGAGGAGCCTCTCACCACGGACCAACCTGGTCCAGGTATGTGTGGCAGCACTCGGACCTGTCCGTCCCATCCGTTCTAGTCCGAGCCTGTGGCAGACATTGCTAGTCAATCGCAGAGCGACAGAGCAGTGCATCTAGGCATCCTCTACCAGTTGATTGCCGAGCTAAGCTACCTATGGTTGAGTGTGGGCTGTGTCCCAGCTCCTGTGGCAGGGCTAAGTAGAGACTCTCCAGAGACGCTTTGACTCCAGCTCAGCGCTTGTCAAGAAATGGTGAATAGGCTGGAGCTTTAGCTCAGTGGTGCCGCCACCTGCCTCAAGCACAAGTACCTGAGTTCGATCCCCAATACCAAATAATAATAACAATGGGGAATAGGACACGGCAGCGCATGCCTGTCATCTGAGATGGGAAGATGAGGCAGGAGGATTATAAATTCAAGGCCAGCTGGGACAACGTAGATCCTGTCTCAAAAGGGCTGGTGAGCATTTCCCTATGTGCAAGGGCCTGGGTTCCAGCCCCAACACTGCAAAGCTGCAGGGTGGGGAGGCTTGGTGCTGTGCACGTGGCACATTCCCATGTCTGGCCTCAGTTCCCTTTGTCCCTGCAGGTGTCCGCTCAGCTCCTATCCAGCTCCTGTCCTCCAGGTGCCTGTAGTCCTGGCAAGGTGTGGCTCTCTGAGGGAGCAGAGCTGAGGCAAGAGGGGAGGGGACGCCCTGGAGAGCCTGGAGGAGAGGCGCGTGAGAGGAGGTGGGACCGGTGGCAGGTGTGAGGAGCCAAGGAAGGTGCCTGACCCAGGCAGGGCCTCCAAGTAGGGAGCCTCCTCCAGCCCACAGGAGGCTGAGGCAGGGCAGCCTCATGACCTGCCTCTTGGCCCTGGCCCGAAGTCCCACCGGTGTTCCGGAAGCTACTCCCAGCCCCCACACCAGCCTCTTCCTTTCTTCGGCTGCGTTCAAAGCTAAGAATAACTACTCGCTGCCTGGCCCAGCCGGAAGCCACAGCCATGGGGGGCACATCCTGAGCCTGGTCTCTGTTCCCACCACCAACCCCCCAAGGCCTGGAGGCTCCTACCTCCCACCCAGATGGAAGTGTGGGTCGAGGACCAACCAGCCGCCAACCCGAGGGGACAGGAGCCCAGAGCTCATGTTTAAGTCCCATATGGGGCCTGAACATCACCTGCCCCTGGACCTCAGTTTCTCCATGTGTACTGCAGGCATCCTTTCCTCCTGCCTTGCAGAGCCGTGTAAGACATATGAAACGGAAATTCAGCTGGCCTCTGAGCCCTGCCCGCCTCTTTCCCAGAAGGGACCTTGTCCTTTTTATCTCCAGGCTGAGGACAGAGGAAGTGAAAGGGAATGGCCTCCTCCTACCTCAGCACCGCCCCATCTGCAGCCCCAGCCCACATCCTACTCACCACATCTGCCCTACAATTCCTGCCTCTGGCATTTAGACCAGACCTGGGGAACTCCTATGCAACTCACATTGCCCCAGCTCGGCTCTTTCCCTGCAAGATGACTTCACAGCTCACCTCTGGGCTCCCCCAGATTATATATGTCACTGCCTTTGGCCTGACCTCCGGGGTCTGGGGTAGTCTGTGCCCAACCTTGTCTTTCTCCAGCTAAAGCGATTCTCAAGAGCAGGCCCACCAGGGGCTCAGAATTGTACCCGGAGGGGTTGAGGGAAATAAGATTGTGTGATCTATAAGACTTGATAGAGGAAGGGCCTTGGAGCCGGGGCTCTGCAGATGCATAGGAGTTGGCACAGGGTGCTGCTTGCCAAGAAGAGGGACAAATGCCTCAGGGACTCAGACAATGGGATAGATGTGGAGAGACGTGGAGGGATGGAGGTTGTGGTCCACCGGAAGACCGTGTGGAGACCGGAAGGATGGGGGCAGGGCAGCAGGGAAGGGGCTTCCTGCCTGAACGGCGGAGCCCCTCCCCCAGCTCAGTGCCTGGGCTGTGGGTCCCTCCTGGGCCACCCTAGGGGACTGGGCAGGGAAGGGTCAAGACTGGCCAGCTTTCCTGGCCTACTCCAGGCCAACTAAAGCCAGTGAGCCTTAGGTTACAAGTCCAGCCTCAGCCCTAACCTGCACACAGCCTCAGAAGGTGGCCCAGGCCAGTGGACCCCTGTCCCTCCCCTCCTAAGCAGGAAGAACCCTTTCCAAGACTCCCCTCTGTCAAGGAGTTTGGCCAGAGCCATCTTCTGATCTCCGAGCCTCTTTCTGCCAGTGCCGTGCCCAGCCCAGACACCCCTTGCTACACTGCTCTGGCTGGCAATACCCTGAATGGATCCGGGGGCTGCTCCCCCTACCCCCTCTACAGGAGATTGCACAGAGCTACATCTCCAGCCTTTTTTGTTTATTTATTTTTTAAATTTTGGGACAGTATCTCACTAAATCACTAACCTGTCCTAGTTGGGCTCGAACTTGTGATCCTCCTGCCTAAGCCTCCTGCCTCAGCTGGCATTATGGGGGCTTTTAAGGAAGTCATCTTCAGGGAAGCCCAGCTCCATCCATCCCTCCACACCCTGTGCTGGTGACGAGCTGAAAAGGCCGACCCTCCCCACACCCCAGAGGGCCCAAGGGAGTCTGTCACCCAACCCTTTCTCAGCCAAGTGGTTCTTTTTTTTTGCGGTGGGGGGGTTGAGACAGGGTCTCACTATGTAGTTGAGACTGACCTGGAACTCACACTGTAGCCCAGGCTGGTCTCCAACTCACAGCGATCCTTAGCCAGGTGGTTCTTGAGTGTGTATTGGACCCAGCGCAGTCCCTCAACTGCAGAGTATTTATTAGGCACCTTCTGTATGCCAGGCCCCATTCCACCTGGTTAACCATCTGGGAACCTCCATCCCCCCGCTTCTCCGGACTCCCTCCCCGCCCCTCTAAGCCTTGGGCGCTGTCCAGACAGTGAATACTCCGGGGCTGGCAGCGGGAGGCCGCGAGGGTCCCCGCAGGGGCGGCCTCTGAGGCTGGGGGTGGGGACGGGGGGCCGTGCCTTTACCCTTCGATGGGGGATTTATGGGCGCCCCCACCCCAGCGGCGTCCCTGGCAGGCAGGGCGACCACCGACCGAGGAG